TGACAACAACACGTCCACCAACCCGTCCACCAACAAGAGCTACCCCACCACCAACAAGAGCAACACCACCACCAACTCGTCCACCAACCCGTCCACCAACAACTTATTTGCCCCCAACTACACGTGCAACTCAACCACCAACACGACCACCAACCCGTCCACCAACTCGCCCTCCAACTCGTCCACCAACACGTGCTACTACTCCAGCACCAACATACTTACCACCAACAAATAAACCACAACCTCCAGTGACAACTACTCGTCCACCAACCCGTCCACCAACAAGAGCAACTCCACCACCAACAAGAGCAACACCACCCCCAACTCGTCCACCAACACGTCCACCAACTCCACCACCAACTCGTCCACCAACCCGTCCACCAACTCCACCACCAACACGTGCTACAAGTACCCCAGCTCCAACTTATTTGCCACCAACAAATAAACCACAACCTCCAGTAACAACAACTCGTCCACCAACCCGTCCACCAACAAGAGCAACTCCACCACCAACTCGTCCACCAACACGTCCACCAACAACTTATTTGCCTCCCACTACAAGAGCAACTCAACCACCAACTCGTCCACCAACCCGTCCACCAACAACTTATTTGCCACCAACCACAAGAGCAACTCAACCACCAACCCGTCCACCAACTCGTCCTCCAACACGTCCTCCACCAACTTACTTGCCACCAACAAATAAACCACAACCACCAGTAACAACTACACGTCCACCAACTCGTCCACCAACAAGAGCAACTCCACCACCAACTCGTCCTTCCAGTACTCCAGCACCAACTTACTTGCCACCAACAAATAAACCACAACCACCAGTAACTACAACTCGTCCACCAACCCGTCCACCAACAAGAGCTACTCCACCACCAACTCGTCCACCAACTCGTCCACCAACCCGTCCACCAACAACATATTTGCCCCCAACTACACGTGCAACTCAACCACCAACACGACCACCAACTCGTCCACCAACCCGTCCACCAACAACTTATTTGCCCCCAACTACACGTGCAACTCAACCACCAACACGACCACCAACCCGTCCTCCAACTCGTCCACCAACACGTGCGACAACTCCAGCACCAACATACTTACCACCAACCAATAAACCACAACCTCCAATAACAACAACTCGTCCACCAACCCGTCCACCAACAAGAGCAACTCCACCACCAACAAGAGCAACTCCACCACCAACTCGTCCACCAACCCGTCCACCAACTCCACCACCAACTCGTCCATCAAGTACTCCAGCTCCAACTTATTTGCCACCAACAAATAAACCACAACCACCAGTAACTACAACCCGTCCACCAACTCGTCCACCAACAAGGGCTACTCCACCACCAACAAGAGCAACTCCACCACCAACTCGTCCACCAACCCGTCCACCAACAACTTATTTGCCCCCAACTACACGTGCGACTCAACCCCCAACACGGCCACCAACCCGTCCACCAACCCGTCCACCAACTCGTCCACCAACACGTGCTACAACTCCAGCACCAACATACTTGCCACCAACAAATAAACCACAACCTCCAATAACAACAACTCGTCCACCAACCCGTCCACCAACAAGAGCTACTCCACCACCAACTAAAGCTACTCCACCACCAACTCGTCCACCAACACGTCCACCAACTCCACCACCAACTCGTCCACCAACCCGTCCACCAACTCCACCACCAACACGTGCTACAAGTACCCCAGCTCCAACTTATTTGCCACCAACAAATAAACCACAACCTCCAGTAACAACAACTCGTCCACCAACCCGGCCACCAACAAGAGCAACTCCACCACCAACTCGTCCACCAACACGTCCACCAACAACTTATTTGCCTCCCACTACAAGAGCAACTCAACCACCAACTCGTCCACCAACTCGTCCACCAACCCGTCCACCAACAACTTATTTGCCACCAACTACAAGAGCAACTCAACCACCAACCCGTCCACCAACTCGTCCACCAACACGTCCTCCACCAACTTACTTGCCACCAACAAATAAACCACAACCTCCAGTAACAACTACACGTCCACCAACCCGACCACCAACCAGAGCGACTCCACCACCAACAAGAGCAACTCCACCACCAACTCGTCCACCAACCAGACCACCAACACCTCCTCCAACGACCAAACATCCTGGTTACAATTACCCCGTACCTAGCATTCCCTTCGAGTACTAAGCTCTGTTTGTCAAACTGCTGTAACGCTGCACATATATTTCAACTGTGAAGCAGCGTTTAGTGATAATGATCACTGCCTTTAAGTCTAGCAAAATGGTACCATCTATTTGTCTAGGGCTAGATACATCTAGTCAATACACTGTAAAAATTTTTGTTTTTTGCAATTGCAAGAATTCATGTTTTGTTTATATATTTTTTAATTAATAATATTCTTATAATTACTCATAGTTTTACTCTGCAAGTCGATAGCAAACGCGTGAATTTTTGTACAGCACGTTTGTATCTTTTCTACTGTATATCTTTGTTTTTTTATAAGACGAAATTAAATGTTTTATTTACAATATTTTAAGGAAAACTGAACGCTTTTGTTGTGCTCTAGATTTGTTACTAAAAATATTAATTCTTACAAAATGTGCCTTTGTATCCTTGCCAACGAAACTTTGTACTTTAGTTTTTGTGAATAAAAGAAAAATTAATTTTAAATGAGTGTTTCTTTTAATTGATTTTGTTTTTAATAATTTTTTTTTACTTCAACCATTGCCTAACTAAATACTGATTAAGGTTCATTTTTCGTATCTCAACAAAATTGCCGAAGATGCATGAAAGTAATTAAGCCCATGTGAGTTCATTTGAAGTTCATAAACTGCAAATTCAAATCTGAGTTTTCAGATTTCACAATTCTCCGATGATGGCAGATCTGAGGCGCTTGGCAATTACACCTCAGTGCGTACCAAGCCGAGGCGTGTTAAACAGTCTTTCACGGTAGGTGCACCCAAGTTTGTTTACACGAGTACTTGACTGCTTGGCGTATTTTATCAACAAATTTCAGGCAAGAAAAGCCAAGAAAAGGCAATGAAACAGACTTAAACACTAAATTACCTGATTGAGATTAATTATGAATTTGTACTCGTATGAGCATTTAATTTCTATTATGGTTTGCTGCTTTAGATTTTGTTATGTAGCTGATTAAATTACATTTTTTTGGTATGAATTCAGTTTAGCCAACTTTCTTTTTGATCATTTAAATAGGCGAAAAATTATGAAAATTTATTTTCAAGAAGAAAACGGTTTAATTATTCGAGCCAATTTTCATCTCAGTCGATTTTTGAATTCGCAATGAAGCAGAAGTCGTGCGGAGTTTTCTCGTCCTTACAAAACGGTTAACTTATAAAACTATAAAAGAATTT